CGGCAAGGGGGACCCAGCCGGGTTCCCTTGAAGGCACCTGTGGGCCCTGACTTAGCTACTGTGGATCTTGTTGGCCGGGAAAGGCCGTCTGCATTTTGGTATTGGCTTCCCCGTCTATATCGAATGGTGGAATTATAAGGCTGGAGGGCGAGGCTCTACCTAAGGAGGCGCCCGTTGTCCCCGGACACCCGGTTCAGCCATGTGAGGGGGCTGTGATCGGTGATGATGGTGAACTCTGCGTCTGTCTGCACAAGGAAGCGTCTGTTGTGGTCAGGGGCGGCCAGGACGGGGTTGCTTGCCAGGGCAGCTTTGAGGTCACGGAAGGCTCATTCACAGGCCGAGGTCCAGGTCACCATCCGGGGTCTGTTCTTTCGGGTCAGGTTGGACAGGGGCTGGGCCGTGGAGCTGAAATTAGGCACAAATTTACGGTAGCAGCCGGCAGTGCTGAGGAAAGCCATCACTTGCTTCTTGGTCTGGGGGGTGGGCCAGTCATAAATGGCCTGAACCTTTGCTGGTTCAGGTTTCAGTGCCCCCCCCCCCACTCTGTGCCCGAGGTACTGTACCTCAGCCATTCCAAACTGGCACTTGTCTGGTCTCACTGTCAGCCCGGCCCTGCAGATGCGGTCTAGGATGGCCCCCACGTGGGCCAGGTGCTCCTCCCACGTGTTGCTAAGGATGGCTATGTCATCTAGGTAGGCGCTCGTGAACTCTTGACATCCCTCTAGTAGCTGGTCCACGACCCGTTAAAAGGTGGCGGGGGCATTTTTCATGCCAAAGAGCATGACGAGGAATTCATACAGGCCGAACGGGGTAATAAAGGCGGAGTGCTCCACGCCCTCTTTTGTGAGGGCGATTTGCCAGTAACCCTTGCTGAGGTCTAGGGTGCTAACGTAGCAGGCCCCAGCTAGACGGTCCAGCAGGTCGTCTATGCGGGGCATGGAGTAGGCGTCGCTGACAGTGTAGTCATTCAACCTCTGGTAGTCCATGCAAAAGCAGGTGGTCCCATCCTTCTTTGGAACCAGCACCACCGGGGAGGCCAAGAACTGCGGGAGGGTCGGATGATACCGAGCTGGAGCATCTCGGAGAGTTCAGCCCGGATGGCCGACTTCACGGATTCAAGGACCCGGTATGGGGCCTGCTGGATGAGTTTCTGACTGTGGGTCTCCACGTGGTGGAGGGCTAACCCGGTGCGGCCTGGGGTGGCCGAGAAGGTGATGGCCCGGTCCGCTAGCACGGTCCGCATCTGGGCTGTCTGGCGGGGGTTCAGCTGAGCCCCCGTGGGAATCTGATCTAAGGGAGTGGCGGCCTTGGTGGCTTGCAGGAGATCAGGCAGGGCTCCCTCATCTTCTCCGCCTGTGGAGGCGGGGCAGATGGCTAGCACGGGTAGAGTCCGGTCGTGGTACTCTTTCAACATGTTGATATGGACCGTGCGTTGCTTGCGGTCACGGGCGTCGAGGCTAATGACGTAGCTAGTCTCGTCTAACTTGCGAAGGACCTTGTAGGGCCCTTCCCAGGTGTGCTGGACCTTGTTCTGGGGGTTGGGGATGATATTGAGCACCTGCTGCCCTTCAGTGAACTCGCAACCGCGTGCCTTGCGGTCGTACCATACCTTCTGGTGTGTCTGGGCTGCTCGGAGGTGGTCGTGGGCCATGGTGGCCAGGCGGGTCAGCCTCTCCCGCAGCTCGAGAACGTAGGGAACGACGGGGGTACCCGTGTCCTCTATCTGCCCTTCCCAATGCTCCCGAAGCAGGGATAGGGGACAGCGGACCTTCCGCCCGTACAGGAGTTCGAAGGGGGAGAACCCGTTGACTCTCGCGGTACCTCCCGATATGCAAACAGCAGGTGAGGGAGGAGCATCTCCCAGTCCGCCTCCCCGTCAACGAAGGACCATAGCATGCTCTTCAGTGTGCCATTGAAGCGCTCGCAGGGGCCATTGGTTTGGGGGTGATAGGGAGTTGTCCGTATCGCCCGTACCCCGCATGTGCGCCAGAGGGATTAGAGCACCTCGGACATGAACTGGGTACCCTGGTCAGTCAAGATCTCGCTGGGGAAACCCACCCAGGAGAAAACGGTGACTAGGGCCTCGGCCCCTTTAGGGGCGGAGATGCTGGACAGGGGAACAGCCTCGGGGTAGCGAGTAGCGTAATCCACCACCGTGAGAATGTACCGCTTTCCGGACTTACTGGGTCGGGCCAGGGGTCCCAGGATATCTACAGCTACCCGCTGAAAGGGCTCGTCAATGATGGGTAAGGGGCAGAGCGGGGCCTTGGGGTGATCCCCTGGGTGTCCCTTCCTCTGACAGATGTCACAGGTCTGACAGAAGTGGGCTACGTCCTGGGTGATACCCAGCCAGTAGAAGGCTTGGGTCAGCTGCAGCCCCGTTCTCCTGTTACCCAGGTGGCCGGCTACTGGAATGTCATGGGCTATCTGGAGTAGCGGGAACCTGAACCGTCTAGGCACTATCAATTGTTTGGAGCTAGCAGAGGGTTGACCTGGGCGGCTTGGGCCTGCCTCGTGGTACAACAGCCCCTGCTCCCACCAAAGCTGGTCTCCACCCCCTCCTGCCGCCCTGCAGTGGCCTGGGTCCTAAATTTAGCCAAGGTGGGGTCTATGGCTATCTCCCGCTGGAAGGTCTCCCTGTCCCAGGTCAGGGGAAGGTCGGGGCCAGGTGGGGGTTCACTCACCGAGTCCATGCTGGGGAAAGGTCCCGTTGTGGCTTCGTCTGTAAGAGGACCTCGACCTGCTTGGCTCCGGGTCACCGCCCCGACGTACTGGCATCGTAGATCCCCAAGGTCGTTGCCGAGCAGAACATCCACCAAGAGGCCGCCCATGACGCCGATCTAGCACTGTTGCTCCCCGAACCCATAGTCGAGGTGTACGGATGCTCTGGGGATATGATGTCTGGCTCCTGACATCAGCTCGATGGTGAATCCAGGGCCGGGTTGGATGGCTTCTGGCCGAATCACTTGGGGGTCGGCGATGGTCAAGAAGGCCCCGATATCCTTAAAACCGGTGGCGGGTTGCCCATCCACCCGCACGACTTGCAGGTAGCGCTGTTTCTGGGCGGGGTATGTAGCCCCTTGGGGGGTGGACACTGTAAACCCCCCGGGAGTGGTTGTCTTCTGGGAAGCCCATCCATTTGCTGGGAGGCGAAGGCAGTGGTTCTTCTGCGGAATAGAGCTCCAGGTAGTGGACTGGGCGTGGAAAGCGACAGCTTCAGGAGGTGGGGCTGTTGGGTTGGAGGTGCCCCAGCTGGTTGCACCCGTAGCAGCAGCGGTCCTTGGGGGGCCCCATGAACTGGGCTCTGGATGGCGGTCCTGCGGATTTGGCAGTGGTAGCCGGGGGCCCGTTTTGACAGAGGTGGTGGGGGGCAGGGCCTTTGGGCAGCTCAGGGGCTCGCCATTTCCAATGTGGTTTGATGGCCAGGATCTCGTCGGCCAGGGCAGCAGCCTTTGCAAGGGTGGTAAGGGCACCTCCGCCGGACATTGGTTGTAGAATTGCTCCTTCAGAAATGCTTGGATGATTTTGTCTGCGGTGCGGGCCTGTTCTCCCTCTAGCCACCTTCGACAGGACTGCGACATCTTGTGTGCATACATCCGATAGGACGGGTCCGCATGGCAGGGAAGGTCATGGAAGCGCACCCGGTGCACTTCTTTGGTTGTAATACTCCAACACAGTCTGTTTGACCCGGGCGTAATCCTGGCCATCCACATAATCCAGAGTGCGGTAGGCCGCAGCTGCACCCCCTTCTAGCAGACCCACGAGGTGCCATATCCAATCCGTGCTTGGCACCTCCATGAGCTGGCACTGCTGCTCAAAGTCCTGAAAGAACCCCTCCACATCCCCTGCGGCTTTGTTGAAGGGTTTAAAGTCCTTGCGGCTGACCCGGGGAAGGGAGTAACCCGCGGCCCTTGGGCTGGAAGGACTGCTTAGCTCACGGTGGCTCCCTTGGCTCTCTCTTTCATGCGCCCTCTGGATAGCCTCTCGCTTGTCCTCTGCCGTGGCGTCTGACCCCAGGAGTGCCATCTCTTCCTCCACCCGAGTAAGCCAGGGGTTTGGCCCTGGGTCATGGCGTGCTGGGGAGGCTGGGGTTGGTCTGCTCTCCTCCCTTGCTGGGGCATCCTGGGGATCAGCTTCCTCAATGGCTGCGACCAGATCCTCTTTGGCTAGGGCCCTCCAGGTAAGGGACAGCTGCTGCTCGGCCATCTACTGCAGATATGCCACAGTCCACTTCCTGTATTCGCTGGGCCGGGCCTGTTCCCCGATCTGCTGGCTTTCGCTGTTTGCCATCTCCTCAGTGTCCTGATCCCACCGCTGCCAACCAGTGTGACGGAGCATAGGAGGGACAGAACACACAGAGTAGATGGTAAACGCACAAAGCTTTATTGAGGCAAACAGATGACAGTCACCGAATAGGGGAGTTCGCAGGGAGGGTGAATACGCCAGTCCAGGGCAACACGGAAGGACCAACACACTTAAAGTCCAACACTGAGAGCCAAGGGAGAGTCTCTCTAGCAAGTAATCCAACAGGGAGTTTGGTGTGAGTCTTTGTAGCAAGTAATCCAACAGGGTGGGTTGGTGTGAGGTCAGCACAAGAACAGTTCAAGTGAAGCAGGCAGAGAGCATGTACTCACGGATCTCTTGTGTCTAGCGGACATGCTTCCCCAGCTCTGGGAGAAGGGGGGTCCTAGGCAGGCTTGGGTCTCTGCCGAGCCTGGCCAAGAAAAGGTCCCATCCACACTCCGGGCCCCTTCCGTCAGCTACACAGCGGTGAATACTTTGGGAGCTCTGGCATCAGCTTCTTAAAACTGGTCGGACCCCCTAGTCACCTAGGCAACCGGGGCAACCTTTCATCTTTGCAGGAGTGGAGAGGGGCACAGATGAGAGACTTCAGAGAGAGCAGGGACAGAGCAAGGGGCTGGGGGGGGGGGCAGCAGCTGTGACATATTATTTAATTGTTCTCAACAACTTCATTTACAGATTTAGTTGCAGAGCAGAAATCGATGGCAAAGCTTATCCTGAAAGTAAACCACATGCAACAAAAAAGCTGGCTAAAAAAGAGGCTGCATTTCTTGCATGGATGGGACTCAAGGAATCGCCTAGGAATTGTCCGGTAGGTTTTAAAGTGTTTTTGTGTAAAAACAAAAATGTATAAATCTGTATGGGTGTGTTAAAATTTTTGATAGTCCATCTTTGTGATGATGGTGTCCTGCTAGTCTGCTAAACCCCTGCCTTATCATTCACAACGATCATTTAGTCAAAAGATTTAACCACTTGCCCTACTGAGGATTTACCCCCCTTCCTGGCCATTTTTTTGCTGTTTGACACTGCGCTATTTCAACTGTTAATTGTGCGGTTGTACAATACTGTACCCAAACGAAATTTATGTCCTTTTTTTTCAGACAAATAGAGCTTTCTTTTGGTGGTATTTGATCACCTCTGCGGTTTTTATTTTTTTGCGCTATAAAAAAAAAACAGACCAAAAATTTTGTAAAAAAAATATATTTTTTCACTTTTGGTTATAAAATATATCCAATAAACTCAAAGTTAGTCATACATTTAGGCAAAAATGTATTCTGCTACATGTCTTCAATACATGTATATTAATTGGTTTGTAGTTATAACATCACAAACTATATAAACTATGGTATATATTGGAATTTACATAGGTTTTAGTTTCTGACTGCCTATCACATTTCTTGAGGTGCTAAAATGCCTGGGCAGTACAAACCCCCCCCCCCCCCCCCAAATGACCACTTTTTGGAAAGTAGACACCCCATGGATTTTGCAGAAAGGCATGTTGAGTCCATGGAACATTTTGTATTTTTTTGCCACAAATTTCTTGAATATGACAATTTTGTTTTCACTTTAATGATATATTGCTCATGCATGCCATGGGTATATGTGGAATAACACCTCAAAAGACATTCTTCTACTTCTCCCGAGTATGGGGATACCACATGTGAGAGACTTTTTGGCAGCCTAGCTACATACAAGCCCCTAAAATCCAATGACCACATCCAGGCTTTCATATTTCCTCGTATCACTTCTCTACTACCTATCACAGTTTCAGAGGCTCTAAAATACCAGGATAGTACAACCCCCCCCTCCCCCCGTTCATTTTCCAAAAACGTGTAGTAACAAATTAGATCTGCAAAACACTCACCATGCCTCATACCTTGGAGTGTCTACTTTCCAAAAAGGGGTCATTTGGAGGGGTTGATTCTACTATCCTGGCATTTCAGGGCCAACATTAGAAGCTTATACCACACATCACCCACTCTTGAAGACCAAGCCTTTTCCAACACTTTTTGCTCACATGAAAAAAAAAACATTTTTTTTGCTAGAAAATTACTTTGAACCTCCAAACACTATATATTTTTTAAAGCAGAGGCCCTAGAGAATAAAACGGTGGGTGTTAAAATTTTTTACGTCACACAGTATTTGCACAGCGATTTTTCAAATGCAAATCTTTTGAAAAAAATACACTGTTTAGAATTTTAATGCACAAAAACACAATATATTGCCCAATTGTTTGATTAAATATAAAAGATGATGTTATGCTGAGTAAATAGATACCAAACATGACATGCTTTAAAATTGGACATGCCCGTGCAATGGCAACAAAGTACATACATTTTTATTATCGCTTTAAAAGCCTTTACAGGTCACCAATTTATATTTACACAGGAGGTCTAGTGCTAGAATTACTGTCCTTGATCTGACGTTTCCGACAATACCTCACATGCATGGTGCAACCACTGTTTACATACCGGCACGGGGGTCAACGCTTGCGCACGCAGGTGGGCAAGGGTGCTTTTTTTTTAATTTTAATTTAAATTTTTTTAACTATTTTTACACTGTCCCCTTAATTTTTTTTTTGATCACTTTAAATGTTATCACAGGGAATGCAAATATCCCCACTAACATCAATTGGCATTGTCATATATTATTTTTTGAGAAATCTGGGGTCTATCAGACTCTAGATATCTCATCTGCCCTTACATTATCTAATCTCACCAAGATCGGTGTTATCAGATGCTTTCCCAATTTACAAATGGCGCTTTTTATATCCTGCGAAACTGAAGGGATGAAATGCTCGTAGCTTCCGATTTCTTAGACTATAGAGATGATTGAAGCCATTCTGGTCTCTGACCAGCCCTATGGTCAGCCAGCGGAATTGCCAGCTGCATTCTCGGATTCCCCTGTGGGACAGGAGAGCCCAAGAAAACTGTGGAAGGCAGCAAGAGGGGGGGGGGGGGGGGTAAAAACAATTCAGCAGCTAATTGGCCACTAGGATTATTTTTACATGGAATCCGACCACCAGCTGAAAAAAACAATACCAGGATGATGCCTGTAGCTGCAGGTATCATCCCGGTATAACCACTCAAAGTCCAGCGACGTATCAGTACATTGCTGGTCCATGTTGGGCATATATGTAACAGCAGAGAACACGGTCATACGATGAACTGGCTCTGTGGATCAGCATGACCACAATTCATTCTTTTCTGTAATGCCCATGTTGAGGGTTAGGCCCAAAAGAGTTTTAAATTCAGAAACTGTGATAGGTTTCAATGCAAATTGGCTGGCAAGAGCTGAATTTGGGTGGGCGGCCATGTATTGTTGTGCATATAAATTGCCTTGGCCCACAATCAATTGATACAAATCTTCCGTGAAAAATAGCAGAGGGGCTAAGCGGTAGTGCTAGCAGCGAACGGGGCTGATCCTGCTAACTGCGTTTTTGTGGACACTATACAAAGGAGGCACTAGTGCAGATCTGTTCATGATCAATATATTGATCCGTACAAACACTAAACTTGTAATGGCGATGATCAGCAACCTATAGCGTGAGTGCGATAGTGTGCAGGCAATCTAACGCTAGCTGACCCTGACGCTTACTGACCCTAACGCTGATGTCACTAGTGGCAGGAATACAGTGAGCAGTGAAAAATTGTATACGGACACTGTACTAATGGCACTGTCTGGTTGATGGGGTGATCAAAGGGTTAATAGGGGCGTTCAAAGGGCTAAATGTGCTAATCTAACACATGCGTGTAAAATGTAGTGGTGCTTTCACTTGGTGCTGTGTTCTCTCTTCTCTCCCTGGACCAATGGGTGTGGGGGCAGTGCGCAGGTGCGTTTACATCCCAAAATAGGAAGTGACGCATGATTACGTTGCTTTGTCAAGAGCTGCGGCTCGCCTGCAAAATGTGGGTAGACAGGTTGGCAAGTAGTAAAAAAAAAAGAGTGAAAATAGTACAATGTTACTATAGTAAAATTGTACTACTGTGTGTGTGTGGGAGGTGATCAGGGATTTTTTTTTTTTTTTTTACACTTTGCTTTGCAGGAGAAATAAAGATAATTTCTCCTGCAAAGCAAAGTGTAAAAAAAAAAGGAGAAATAAAGATCATTTCTTCTGCAATGCAAAGCTTGCTGTCAGAACGTAACTCATTCATGAACTGTCATGAATGAGTTAAGTTTTCACAGCTCAGGATAGTGATCTGTGATTTGCTGCAGCTGGTCACATGGTACAGGGTGCTGTGATTGGCCCCATGTATCATGTGACAGCTGTGGGCCAGTCACAGCTCACTAGGAAGAGAAGCAGAGCTGTTATGAATGTACTAACTAGAGTATATGGGGTCTTGTGAGCTACTATGGTGTATACAAAGTGCTAGTGAATATTTAAATATTTTGAATATTAAATAATACTAAAATTGATGTGAAACCAATGTAATGGTGAAAATAAAAAATTGTGTGAAAAAAACACTACACATACTCATACCATTGTGTTATAGAGAATACAGTCAAAAATAGTGTCGCGCTCCACTACCAATTGTAATAATAAAAAGTAAAAATGAATTAAATAAGAGTCCAGCTTCAAAAAAATATATATATATCAATATCACTGCAATTATATATTACTGCTGCAAACATGTCTTATTAAGTCTGTGGCTTTGATACTTCTGTGATACAAAAAAATATATAACCGTGCAGTCCACCAATCATAAAAAATATTATACACCTTCACTGGTTGTTCTTTCACCTGGTGTATATGACCAAACTGTTAAGTGAGGTCATAAAAATCTTGTGTCAGCTTAATTAGACTTAATGGTATATGGGTAGGATTGTCCCTCTTTCTTTGGGATGGATGGATGAACGGAGTTCACGCAGGGACATGCAGGGAAGAAGTCCCTGCACTTCTTTGGAAACCGCAGCCCGCACGTGCTCCCAGTAAGGTTGCATTTTTTAGTGTGGGCGGCGTGCCATTAGAACTAATGGCACACACCACTGGTCCGCATTCCTCTGTGTGGGTGGTGCGGCTGCATGGATTTTCGTGCGGATCTGCAGTGGCACCACCCACACAGATGTGAAACTAGCCTTAGTGCCCCTCTTTGTGACCTGTATTTTAACCCTTTATCTCCCTTACCTTGTACATCTGTACATTAATCTCTTCATCTCCAGTCTCCCATGTGATCTCTACATTACCTCCTTCATCTCCTCTTCTCTCTGTGTATGACTTGTATACGCTGTATCTAGTGCACAATTACCAAGCTCCATGTTTTAACCATCTCAATTCCACCATGTTCAGTTCCAAATAATTATGGCAAAAAAATAGAACACCTTTGTACTTTCCAAAAATTGGTCATTTTAGGGGTTTTCACACCATCCTGGAATTTTTATTTTAACAAAAAGTAACTTACCTAAACGATTGTGGAATATGCAGCTTTTCTCCTTCCAGGAGCACTGGCATTCAGAGGAGAAAAGCAAACACCCAGTGTACATGAAGCCTTCTTGTCAAGCATTCCAATCAAAGGAATGAAGGGGTTTCATTTTACTGGAATTTATTTTAATGTGACACCAGATTAACTGACCTTACATACTGCTAAAATATTATGTATGATTCTGAATATACTGCTGATATTCATTTCAGGAAATCCCAAGTGGTTTCATGCCTGGTTCCCAGAGATCTTCTATCTTGAGGTATTTTTATGTTGTATTATATTTGTTGTTTTTCTCTTTTTATATTTTTTAAGTATACTTAAAATTATTTAAAGAATAATGTAACTTAGCATGGGTAGAACCTATTTTATTTTTAAATAGCATATACCATTGTAAAAAAATAAAGCAGTGACCTTTTGTTTTAATGATTTGTTTGCCTGTGCTGGTCAAAACAGTCATATATGGACATATAATGATGCACAATATGGCTGATTTAACCATAAATTATGAGATCAAATCTAAACACTTTCAGTTTGTACAGTCAGGTCCATAAATATTGGGACATCGACACAATTCTAACATGTTTGGCTCTATACACCACCACAATGGATTTGAAATTAAACGAACAACGACTGTCAGCTTTAATTTGAGGGTATTTACAGCCAAATCAGGTGAACGGTGTAGGAATTACAACAGTTTGCATATGTGCCTCCCACTTGTTAAGGGACCAAAAGTAATGGGACAATTGGCTTCTCAGCTGTTCCATGGCCAGGTGTGTGTTATTCCCTCATTATCCCAATTACAATGAGCAGATAAAAGGTCCAGAGTTCATTTCAAGTGTGCTATTTGCATTTGGAATCTGTTGCTGTCAACTCTCAAGATGAGATCCAAAGAGCTGTCACTATCAGTGAAGCAAGCCATCATTAGGCTGGAAAAAGCAAAACAAACCCATCAGAGAGATAGCAAAAACATTAGGCGTGGCCAAAACTGTTTGGAACATTCCTAAAAAGAAGGAACACACCGGTGAGCTCAGCAACACCAAAAGACCCGGAAGACCACGGAAAACAACTGTGGTGGATGACCGAAGAATTCTTTCCCTGGTGAAGAAAACACCCTTCACAACAGTTGGCCAGATCAAGAACACTCTCCATGAGGTAGGTGTATGTGTGAATGTCAACAATCAAGAGAAGACTTCACCAGAGTGAATACAGAGGGTTCACCACAAGATGTAAACCATTGGTGAGCCTCAAAAACAGGAAGGCCAGATTAGAGTTTGCCAAACGGCATTTAAAAAAAGCCTTCACAGTTCTGGAACAACATCCTATGGACAGATGAGACCAAGATCAACTTGTACCAGAGTGATGGGAAGAGAAGAGTATGGAGAAGGAAAGGAACTGCTCATGATCCTAAGCATACCACCTCATCAGTGAAGCATGGTGGTGGTAGTGTCATGGCGTGGGCATGTATGGCTGCCAATGGAACTGGTTCTCTTGTATTTATTGATGATGTGACTGCTGACAAAAGCAGCAGGATGAATTCTGAAGTGTTTCGGGCAATATTATCTGCTCATATTAAGCCAAATGCTTCAGAACTCGTTGGACGCCGCTTCACAGTGCAGATGGACAATGACCCAAAGCATACTGCAAAAGCAACCAAAGAGTTTTTTAAGGGAAAGAAGTGGAATGTTATGCAATGGCCAAGTCAATCACCTGACCTGAATCCGATTGAGCATGCATTTCACTTGCTGAAGACAAAACTGAAGGGAAAATGCCCCAAGAACAAGCAGGAACTGAAGACAGTTGCAGTAGAGGGCCTGGCAGAGCATCACCATGGATGAAACCCACCATCTGGTGATGTCTATGCCTTCCAGACTTCTGGCTGTAATTGAAGGATTTGCAACCAAATATTAAAAAGTGAAAGTTTGATTTATGATTATTATTCTGTCCCATTACTTTTGGTCCCTTAACGAGTAGGAGGCACATGTGCAAACTGTTGTAATTCCTACACCGTTCACCTGATTTGGATGTAAATACCCTCAAGTTAAAGCTGACAGTCTGCAGTTAAAGCACATCTTGTTCATTTCATTTCAAATCCATTGTGGTGGTGTATAGAGCCAAAAATGTTAGAATTGTGTCCATGACCTAATATTTATGGACCTGACTGTATGCAATCAGGCAGGCCCTTGCACTACATAGTTGAAGGTAAATCTAAAAGAAATTGAACAATAACATTTTATAATGTATGGCCAGAGAGGTGGTTTGTGTATAAGATGTGCAGATGTGTATTGGGAACTGTTTCTAGTGATCAAAAGGATTGGAATTATTCTTTCATCCAACTATGCACAACATCCTAATTATTGCCCATACGGAGATCAGTTACCCCACAGGTGCTTAATTTACAATTTCCTGCTCCAAACAGCCACTCCTGCTCCAAACAGCCACTCACAATTGATGAGTTACCAGGCTTTCTGTATTCTTGCATCAGCCCCCCTATTTGCCTAATTTGCTCTGTTGAATAGCTGGCAAACCAAATAACTGTGACTGCTATCAATTGGCATGGAACAGATGGCATGTAAGTGCACAGATAAATAAGTTCATGTGGATATGGGAAAGCAGAAAGCCTGGGATGAAGAATCAGCATATTATTATTATACAGGACTTGTATAGTGGAAACAGTTTGTGCAGTGCTTTACATTATAAATGCTACAATACAATCAAAACAAGAGGATTAAGAGGGCCCTACTTATAGGAATTTACACTCTTATATTTTCTTGTTCTTTAACTATATCTCCAAAATTAATTAGGTGATTTAGATGTTCATGGGTTTGATCATGGAATACTTTAGAATTCAGAGCTTTGACTTTCATGTCACTTTTTGAACTGTTGGTTCAATAATTTTGGCAGTTGCTTATACTGGACTGGTGCAAGGTTCCCCTTTAACTTCCAATTGCAGAAGACTTCTTTGTATGCTAGAGAACCAATATCTTCAGGATATAAAATATTGTAATAGTGTTGTATGGTAGTCAAGTAACCCATAGCAGAAATACATAGAGAAAGAAACCTATGGAATATGTCAGGTCCCTTCCACTCTCATGGACAGAGCAACTTTCATTGATCATCCTGGTATACTGCTTTGATACTAATTTTTCCAACCTATGTGATGAGATACTTATACTTGTCAATGTTCCCCATTTCCTAGTATTTTCTGTCAAAATTTATATTTCTTCCTCTAATTTAAAAAAAAAATGTGTTTTATTATCTTTTCAAGATATATGGAATAGACCTATATACAGCACAAAAGAACTAGATTCATGGAACAGGCCAATAATAACTAGCAGACTAGTTAACAGATATACATACACACAGTCCTCCTCCATTCTCCCTTATGGTGGAACCAACTATATATTCAGCTGGAAAACATTAACAAGTAGCCTTTATAGCTTGTCAGTTACAATTATTGAAAAAGGCATTTAGTTATGGATGCCACATCTTCTCAAACTAGTGTCATACTTTCCTCTCTACATTTTCTCTGTGATCTATGCCAGATCATTGGGTTCACATGTAAGAGGGAGTATTGCAACTGTTTATTAGTACTCTGCATAGGATATTCTATCAAACCTTTCCATGAGCCTTGCACCACAGCTGCCACTACAGTAGCCATGTTTTTAACACTGGAATTTAACTAGTCGTTAATGAAAGTCAATTGAGGGTTTATAAAATAGGTTATTATGCACTGTGCTAATAATCTAGTGCCCATACTCACTTGGAGGTGTCACTCCAAGTGTAGGAGGGTAATATGGAGCTCAACCATGAAAGTCCATAAAATATTTATTTGGGATGTATGGTGAAGTCAGATGGAAGACAGAAAACCTGGGAGGATAGATCTTTTTTTTTTTTAAAGGTTTATTAGGCCAACTAGATTTAAGGGGAGAAATGTTGAAATTTTGCAATTTTGTCTCCATAGAATGTAACAAATGTAAATTGTGAATTTTTAGCCATGGATGTATGTATTTTAATTCCTTGGAATTTAAAGGTGGTCACCTATATCAATGGGGAGTCATTTGGAGTGATCTCGGGAGTGATGGTTTCTAAGTGGAATATTTTTGGATGTTGAGTTTTAATCCAGTGAACTTCTTAAAGTCCTCTGTGATATTAAAGCGGTTGTAAATGATTGCTTTTTTTCTTAAATAATAAACATGTTATATTTATTTGCTCTGTGAGGTGGTATTGCACAGAGCGGCCCCAAACCTCTTCTTTTGGGTTCCCATTGCCAGTGCTGTTCGCTTCTCCTCTATGGAGTCTGCTTCCATAGAAAACCACTTACTATGGGGGAAGATGTGCAGGCACGCTCCCGAACCCATAGACGCACCGTGTGACTTGGCCCTCCCTCCTTACAGGATTTGATTGACCATCGGCTCCTGCTGCTGAATCTACAGAATGTCCTATAAGGAGAGGAGCACAGTCCAGCGTTGCTGGTACAGCCCTAGATCAAGATAGGACTCAGGTAAGTATATAGCGGGGTGAAAGGATGATACTACTACTAGGATATTTTTTAATCTTAATTCAGGGAATGCATTAAAGTAAAAATGTTCTGCCTTTAGCAGAAAGTGCTCTTTTTTTCTCCTAAACAACAAGTTGATCTTAATCTTTACAACTCTGGTCTCTCTTGTAGCGTGTCTTTATTACCGAATACAATATCTGCCAGCTGGAATTGCTTTTTGCACCATATTTAGTGTGGATGGAGGAAAAATGATCAATTTCTCCCATTCATGCATCTGAGGAAAATTTTTAACATGTATGGCCAGCTTTATAGTAGAACTAAAGGCAAAACTCTCTAATTTTTTCCCCCACTGTGTCCCATTGGGGAGATTTCCCTTCACTTCCTGTCCCATAGCCAAAACAGGAAGTGAGAAGACATCCTTCCAATGTGAGGGAATGTCTTATTGTCACCAGGGTTACAGGATTAGTGTTCCCATTGGAAGATTCCCCCTGTTTCTGTTCTGGTGTTAACCCAAAATCTGGTATTTTTTCACTTTCAGTGATAACCGTAAACAGGATAAGTAGACTGAATCTCCCTAGCAGGGCACAGACAGCAATAAAAACAGGATCCCTCTCCACTCTATCCAGAACTTACAAATGTTTAGCCTTTAGGTATATTTTCAGATTCATTCCCCCCTCCTTCTGGTTCAGACATCTTATTAGATCATCAACTCTCAATAGAATATCAACTAATTGGCTAAAATGTTTAGTTTATTAAGGTCTTTATTATGTAACTTTCTGAAAGGCACGCTGTGGTTCTTCTAGCTCTTCAGTGTGTCTTGAACATGTTCCTCAAGCAGAGCCTTGCTGTCTTTTCAAGGGTCCGTATTCTGCAACCAACAAAATAAAGACCATACTCACTCAGAGACCTCACATTTTTAGTGTCAAGTGAGAAATTCCTGATCTTATATTCTCTTCCTGTGACATTAGACTGAAAACCCTTGATATATTTATTTGAAGCTTTTGTGTGCCTACATTAAAAGCATCTCTTACATCCCCTAAAACCTCTATCTTCCATTAAAATGTTATTAGGGGGCCCTGTTCTTGTATAGACTGCTTTGCAAAGAGAAATGAAGAACACGCTTAGATTTATGTAGCTGACACTTAAGCTGGTCAGCTTGGCCTTTTACTGGAAGTGGAAAATTACAGATCTACTTGCAGGATCAACATAATAGAACTACTGAGGAAACAGAGAAAATCAAAAAACTACTTTTTTACTGCTATTGCCAGACTGCTTCATATACTATATGTCATTTTATATTGCCAAACTCTTCATTGGTAAATTTAATCAATCTTATCTTTTGCAGCCTTGGCAACAGGATATCTTCTGAAAGTGGTATATCTGGCACAGCAAGCAGCAGTTTTGAGGTATTACTTCGTGAAACATGTTTTTTACTGGGCATGGTCAAGGAGATCTTACTATAAGGAATTCTACATCATTTGCAGCTTGATTAGGATAGATACTTGGGTCCTGAAGAGTTGAGATGGCCATACATGGATCGAAATTCGGCCGGCTCAGCAGGAACTGGCCAAATTTCAATCTGTGTGTAGCTGTCCCTTTTCAACAGAAGTCTATCATGAGACCAGCTTCTATTGAATGGTCCTGCTGTAAAAACAGCAGTCAATCAATGCATGCAACCAATGGGCTGCATCACTGATCAGTTCTAATCTGATGGGTACGCAGCAGGAGGATTTCTCCATCCAACTCGAATGTGTGGATGGGAAAATAAGCTCTGTTTTTTTTTGTTCAGCCGGCTAGCTGAACAAAAAGCAGCGAGGGTCCAGTGACAGGCAGGTGTCACCCAACAGGTCCATTCTGTGTCCCCTGCACAGCCTGCTGTCTCTGCTGTGCCTGCAAATCCCTCCTGCTGCTGTCCTTCTACTTCCTTCCAATACTAAGTTAACAAACATGAATCGTCATTCATCTTTACTCTATCTTCTTTTGTGAATCAACAGGAAACATTCTGTAAGTGTAAACCCAGCCATAAACGAGTCGAAAAACCGATTGTTCGATTGAAAATGGCACATACTATTGTGCCATCATTTGTTTAGTTTGTCTAAAAAAAAAAATCCAGTATGTTGGATCAGGCACTTTTGATTGTGGCACAAAAAATTGTGTGTTGCAGCTGGCATACTAATGATGTGAAAAACAAATGATCTGACAATTGATAAGAATTTTGTTCGCTTTTCCACTCGTCTATGGCTTGCTTTACTGAGTACAGCTGTGGCTGCAATAGAGAAATATATTAAAGTGGTTGTAAAAGCTGAAGGTTTTTACTTTCATGCATTCTATGCATGAAGGTAAAAAAAAAACCTTCCATGTGCAGCAGCCTTCCCAGCTCCCCCCAATACTTACCTGAGCCCCATCGCGATCCAGCGATGTGTATGGCAGCCTCGGCTGTCCCGGGTCTCTTCCTTGCTGAGACAGCAGCGGGAGCCATTGTCAATCACAGCCAGTCAGCCGAAGAGGAGAGAGAGAGGGGACAGGGCCGAGCCGAGCCGCGGTGTGAATGGACACACTGGCAAGTTGCTTGCTATGGGGGCACTCGGCAGGAGGGAGGGCCAGGTGCATCGGTGAGGAACCCAAGAAGAGGAGGATACGGGCTGCTTTGTGCAAAACCACTGCACAGAGCAGGTAAGTATAACTTGTTTGTTTAAAAAAAAAAAAAAAAAAACAAGGCTTTAGTATCTCTTTAAGGGCTCTGTGCCCTTGAATCTTTCTCTATTTCAAAAGTGAAATTTCAGAGGTCTGTATGGACCCCTTATATTTCACTAAAGTACCCACCCAATATTAAAATAAACACATTAAAAATAATAAAGATAATGCAAGTTCTATATTCACACTGGTGTGATGTGGGAATGCGTGCACCCATGTGCACATTGTCACAGCACACAAATACTTCTTGTTAGGGTGCTGTAGAGCCATTCATTGTTAATGGCACCCCACTGCACCTTGCTAACACGCATGCATTTCAGTGCACAACAACACGTATTACTATGCATAGTGGTGCACTGCATTAAAAGAAAAAAAAGTGCGCCTTTTAAGTGCGATTTATGTACTTTGGACTGCTTATTTATGGGCTACTGTAATGCGGGCATGTTAATGTACATGAAAACCAGCATCAGTGTGCATGTGCTGTTGTGCCTTTGCACGTGTGCTGCAGTGCTGTTTTTTTTAAACTTTTAAAATTACATTCATTTATCTCTATGTGTGGCAGCATGTTGCAACGCATGTATTGTACCACGTTTTGATAAAATGTATGCCTGCATGATTTTACCACAACACACACACGGCACTGCAGATTGGATATTACTATAACACAAACAGTAAGGCCCGGTTCACATATCTAAAAGTGCGTTTCACATGCATTTCCATGTGTTGCACATGGGGAAGCCCATTCACTTGACTGGACTTACCCATGCACATTTGTCAAGCCACAGAAGCTCAGAGACCAAATTTTGGCCCTGAGGCAGGTGTGTTTTGTAGTGCAAAAATTGTTGCAAAATTGCACCACATTTGGGCTTTCCTTCAGGATGAATGGCACTTAATCGTGGAAGGATGAATGGCCAGAATCGTTCTGATCGAGGCCTAACACAGTACAGTTTTGTGTACCTTCGAAATATAATGGGACTTACAAGATTAGTAGCACCATCTTTAAATTGTACTGGTCCTTTGCTTTCAGAAAATGTATGGTTTGGGGGGGAGGGGTGTGTGTGGTCTTTTACAAACACTGAAAGCTGTAAATGAAAAATAGAAAAAAGTTAAATATTTCAACAATGGTTTGACCAACTTGAGGTTTAAAGTGGCAGCGAAAGAGTTAAGGTTGATCAGTTTAATATTTATATCAATGCGTTTCTTATATTATGATATACTGTTTAATTGTATTTAGGTTACTTTTCACACGTCATGTCCGACACCTTCAAATCCAGAAAGGTAGGTTTTTGTTTATCAGTCACCTACATAGTCTAGTCTGACAAGCACTATGGTTTGGAATTTTTCACTGCTAAAGGTTATAGCAAGTTTCTAACAATGCCTGTCTCCTTGTGTAGTCACTGTCTGTTGTCCCCGCCCTTCTCCTAATTTCCTCCCTTGATTTCACTTAATCGCATTCTCGCTGCTCCTTCTTCTAAGATTTCCTACCCATGCTTGGAAAGTGTTTCCTCTTGATTAACTTCAGCAAAAATCTACTCATCATATTAAAGAGTGATTGCAGCTAGATGAGAGGTTAATCAGGTATACACATTTTACTGAAGAATTCAAGGAAAATGTCACAGCTTAAAGCGGTATTTTGTGTATGAAGGTAAATGGAAGGTGAATGCTGTATAGCATAGGGGTCTGGAGTCAGCAGAAGCCTGTATGCATACAAAATCAAATGGGGCTTACAGCATTTTGCCATTGACTGATCTCTGTAAAGGAATGTTTTGCAAACTCTCTTTACTTTTAGGGAGAGAGTCTGTTACCAGGACTTTCAAATATATACGTATTCTTAAAGTTGATCTTTACCCAAAAGGAAGTTCCGCTTTTTGAGCTGATGAGGAAAATAAAAGTATAGTTATGTGGAGGCATCCAATGGAGTCTAGCACTTACTGTCTGTCCATATCCAGTTCTTTTCACCACTGATGGATCCCTGGTGCTGCCATCCAAAATTTGGGAGCAGGTTGTGAAAAAAAAAAAATCAGCACCTCCAGTACAGGCTAGGGGAGGGAGAGGATCAATGGTACTCCACTTTTTTGTGAAGTTCTACTTTAATGGTTAAGCTCACCTCTTGTAAAAAATAAAAAATAAATATGATGTTGCAGGCAAAAAAATGTGCATTCATTATTTTTTACACTTCAGGTTGTAAAGCATTGCAGTAGATTGCAGGTGCAATGCCAGGCTCTGCAGATACTTAGTACAGCTGTCTGTTCGTACCTCCATATGGGCAGATAGTTACGGAAGATCAGGAAGAGTCAATGGTCCATGAGGACTCTCGTGCGTGCCCTTGCAGTTCATTGATGAAGTAGAGTTGTAGTTCATTCATTCACAGAACTCTGTGAATGAATGACGTGGCTGTGTATGCAGCTGAGGACAGAGGCTATGTAATTGCTTCTAAAAAAAAAAGGAGGAAAAAAACGTGTATGTAGTGTTTTTATATCTATAAACAAATGTTTTGCATTCCATTTCTGTTTTAAATGGAATGGGTTGTTTTACAATGTGAGGGCTTACAATCACTTTAATCTATTTTATACCATGCAAGAAAAGAGTTATTTATCTTGTTAAGTGTCTTAAACTGTTGGTTTGTGGTCACATGAGTTTTTAACAATTTGAAATGAGTAGTATGTACAGTGGGAAAAATAATTATTTGATCCCTGGCAGCTTTTGTAAGTTTGCCCACTTACAAAGAAATGAAGGGTAAATCCTGTATAATAATAATAATAATAATAATTGTTATCATAGGTGTATTTTAAATGATAGACACAGAATATCAACCAAAAATCGAGAAAAAAAACATACCTCATACAAATGTTATAAATTGAGTTGCAGTTTAATGAGTAAAATACCGTATTTTTCGCTCCATGAGATGCACCTGACCATAAGACGCGCCTAGGTTTTAGAGGAGAAAAACAAGAAAAAAAATATTCTGAACCAATGGACTGCTGACATAGTACAGGAAATGACCAAAGACTGCAGACACAGTACAGAAGATGACCAGAAACTGTGGACATAGTACAAGAGATGACCAGAGACTGTAGACACAGTACAGGAGATGACCAGAGACTGCGGACATAGTACAGGAGATGACCAGAGACTGCGGACACAGCACAGGAGATGACCAGAGACTGCGGACACAGGTGCAGGAGATGACCAGAGACTGCGGACTCAGTACAGGAGATGACCAGAGACTGTGGACTGCTACAAGGACCAGAGACTGCAGACTACAGGGATGACCAGAGGCGGCAGACATAGTACAGGAGATGACAGAGACTGCAGACATAGTACAGGAGATGACCAGAGACTGCGGACACAGTACAGGAGATGACCAGAGACTGCGGACACAGTACAGATGACCAGAGACTGCAGACAGTACAGGGGATGTCCAAAGACTGCAGACAGTACATGGGGATTACCTAGAGACTGCAGACAGTACATGGGGATGACCAAGAGACTGCAGATAGTACAGGGGATGACCAGAGACTGTGGACCTTTGGGGAGGGTAGGGGAGCAGGTACCTGAATTTGACAGTTGTCCTTTAGTGTGGGCACCCAGCTGTGACAGCCGGGTGCCCACTGCGCATGCCAAGAAGCGCTGCGCTTTGTGAATGGCCCAGCGTCTTCTGGGATCTGTCATGTGTCCCAGAAGACTCCGGACCATTCACAAAGCGCAGCGCTTCTCGCGCATGTGCAGTGGGCAACCGGCTGTCACAGCCAGGTGCTCACACTAAAGATTCCGGCGCAGGAAGACTGTACAGCGCTGGACCGAGAAACAAGTAAGGTCCTGCTGCAAAGAAGAGCTGAGCGGCCATTCCGGTATTCTGACACGGTGGCGGCGGCAGAAATACCAGATCGGCTGCTCCATATTCGCTCCATAAGACGCACTGACCTTTTTTGCCCTTCTTTTTGGGGGAAAAAAAGTGCGTCTTATGGAGCAAAAAATACGGTAAGTATTTGGTCCCTAAGCAAAACATGACTTAGTATTTGGTGGAGAAACCCTTGTTGGCAAGCACAGAGGTAAGACGTTTCTTGTAGTTGGTTATCAAGTTTGCAAACATCTGAGGAGGGATTTGGTTCACTCTTCTTTACAGATCTTCTGTAAATCCTTAAGGTTTCTTACTTGTTGCTTGGCAACTTGAAGTTTCAGCTTCCTCCATAAATTTTGTATTGGAATAAGGTCTGGAGACTGGCTAGGCCACTCCATGACCTTAATGTGCTTCTGTGTGAGGCACTTCTTTTGCTGCCTTGGCGGTATGTTTTGGGTCATTCATATGCTGGAAGACCCATCCATGACCCATCTTCAGTGTTCTGGCTAAGGGAAAAAGGTTCTAAACCAAGATACAATTACAATACATGGCCCCGTCCATTGGCCCCTTAATGTGGCAAAGTTGGCCTGTACCTTTTAGCAGAGCAACAACCCCAAAGCATAATGTTTCCACATCCGTGCTTGACTGTAGGGATGGTGTACTTAGGGCCATAGACAGTGTTTTTCTTCCTCCAAATACGGCGAGTCGAGTTAATGCCAAAGAGCTCAATTTTGGTCTCATCTGACCACAGCACTTTCTCCCAATCCTTCTTTGAATCATTTAGATGTTCATTGGCAGACTTCAGATGGGCCTGACCATGTGCCTTCTTGAGGAGGGGTACATTGCGGGCGCTGCAGTATTCAATCCATGGTTGTTGTGTTACTTATGGTTTGTTTGGTAACTGTGGTCACAACTGCCTTGAGATCATTCACAAGATCCTTCCATGTAGTTCTGGGATGATCCCTAACTTTTCTCATGATCATCCTTACCCCATGAGAAGAAATCTTGTGTGGAGCTCCAAACCGAAGATGACTGATGGTTATTTTGTATTTCTTCCATTCGCGAGTAATCGCTTCAACAGTTGTCTCCTTTTCACCAAGCTTCTTGCTGAGGGTCTTGTAGCCCATTCCAGCCTTGTGCAGGTCTACAGTCTTGTCCTTGATGTCCTTTGACAGCTCTTTGGTCTTGCCCATGGTCATGAGTGTTGAATGGAAGAGATTCTGTGGACACATAACATGCTGTCGTTAGGAGCACCTTCTTAAATTGACAGGACTAATCTGTGTCCCACATGAGCATATAGCCAGTTTGTGGGAATTAGAATAATTGTTGGTTGGTAGGGGATCAAATACTTATTTTACTTACTGAACTGCAACTCAGTTTATACCATTTGTATCATGTGTTTTTTCTGGATTTTTTGGTTGATATTCTGTCTCTATCATTTAAAATTCACCTATGATAGAAATTATAGACCCTTTTTTTCTTTTTCTAAGTGAGCAAACTTCCAAAATCTGCAGGGGATCAAATAATTATTTTCGCCGCTGTTTATCGGTGAGTGAGCAGAGTCAAGGGGCGTAGCATAAGTAAAATTAAGACGTAAGATAGATTGGAACGGTTATGTGAAAGGAGCCTTAGTGATATTAAAGCCTCAGTTTGTTTAATCACTTCAGCAGCTGTACAACGACTTAGTGATTATGCAGCTTCTTCATCTTTTAATCCTTACCTATGTTCCTGCTTAAGCTGATGCCATGGCCACTGCTCCAGGTTTCATGTTTCAGGATGGTGCCTTTCTCTTGCTCCTCCTATAGAGCCATCCTTGCATTCAAATTGTCTCTCTAAACTGCATGCATCAATAGAAACACACAGCCCCATAGCTTAGGATGACAAGACACTCCCCTACCCCTCCCTCCTCCTAGCTAACCTATTGGCTCCACATGTGCTCAATGTATTAAACTATAAAACACTGAGGGTTTAATACTAATTTAATCGCCTGGGATTTTCACACACAACACTTCCTAGAGTTTACTGAGAATGATGCAAATAACAAAAAACATCCACTGAGCAGCTGCTGTGCAGGCAAAAACACCTTGTTGATGAGGCCAAAGGAGAATGACCAGACTGGTTTGAGTTCTCAGACTACACTAACTCAGATAACCACATTTCAAAACTGTGATAAGACACACAGCATATCTAAATGCACAGCACATAAACCTTAAGGCGGATGTGCTAGAACAGCAGAAGACTGCATCTGGTTCAACTCCTGTCAGCCAAGAACAGAAAGCTGAAGCTGAGACTGCTGTGTGTACAGACAGGCTCACCAAAACTGGATACATGAAGATTCAGAATATGTAGGCTCTGATGAATCTAGATTTCAGCTGAGCCACACAAATAGGCCAGTTACCAGATATGAATGTGATAGGATACCTTAGAGATGTGGTAGAATGGGGGATTCACAGACTGAGGCACCATGCACACTAGTGGTTTTTTAGGCTCCTAGAAGCTGTTGTTAGCATTTTTTTTATCCTAGTAGCTAAATAGTTTTATCCTATGCTTCAGTGCACTCTACTTTAGGCTATTAGCTTTTTTTAGGAGCAGAAAAAAATGTTTTTGTAGAGTTTTTTGGAGCATTTTTTTTCAGCAGAAAAAATGCTGAATGCTACTAAAACACTCCTAACAGCTTTTTTTCTAGCTTTTTTCTACATGTACTGTAAAAAAGTTAATAAAACTCTAACAATTCTAAAAGCTTCTAAACCCTACTAAAATGCTACAAAAAAATGCTATTACCAGCATCTTTTATCTAGCGTTTTGTTTAACTTAGAAAACCACTAGAGTGCATGGAGCCTGAATGTGTAGTTGACATTTTGACAGATAAGTGGATCTTGCTTTGTCCAGAAAAGTCCCTTATAAAGAGACAGCTTAATTGTACAGTACAGGGCACAAGCTTGATATTTATATACCTTGGGTTATAGGCTGGTACATTCAGGTGATTGGACACCCCCTGGATGTTCCCCTATAACTCTACCCCACACTATGAGTTCTCAGTTTTTGCTAGTGTGCTAAGGTAATGGATATCTTCTCCCTTACAGAGAAATCACTTTTTAGCTTAATTAGATTACTATTTTACTTCATATTCTCTAATCAACTCTACACTGTCTTCTAATACAACAATAGACATAACATTAAAAGCAGTGCATCTGGGTCAGTGCAACCTCTTTAAAATTTTAGGAGCCTTACCCAGACACCACACTGTAGGGACAGTCCGTAATCTTGCTGCAGGCAGTGGATCCTCCATGGGTGCACGCCTTGGATTTTGGCACAACTCCTGTAGTTAGCCACAGGGTGCTATACAGGATCAGGGGCTATGGTCCATCTCTATAGAACCTAGACCATAAAGACACCTTCATTGGTAGATCCTACAGTATATAGAGACCATCAACAAGGACAGGTAAGATAGGGTCACCTAGTTTATTGAACTGTTCTCTGGGTCACAGACACCTAGACCTGGGGTTCAGTCAATGGTTTAAAAAGGAGTACAAAATAAAGTTCAAAACTCTACCCCATCACTGCTTTTCTCTCAAGCCAGCCAAAATCTGATCCAGGACAGTCAGATTTGCGCCTCTTCTTGCCCTCTTAAGAACCCTAGATGACCTTCTTCTGAAGGACTCAGCTCCCTTCTAGTTAACTGCAAATGTCTACAGGACTATTCAGATACTTCAAACTTTTGGTTGGGTAAGCAACTTCTAAAAAAAACTGCTCCCCAACTTTCTCTTTGTCTGGAATGCTTGGTCCTCATTTTAGAAACAACCCAAGTGAACGTTTTTTTTCCAGATAACAAACTGGTTTCTCCCAGATCTCACGCAAATGGCCTTGGGGAAGAATTCCAGGTATGGTATATATTTACATAGTTACAGTGGACCAGGTTGGACCAAGGGACATCCTGCTTCAGGATCCACCATTGCTAGACAACTTATCTCAAGAGCTTACACCCTAAAGTATAAAGCACTTCCTGCACTAAGTTGGTAGGAGTTTCCTGGGCATGTTGACATCAAGGCTGTGCTATACCCAGCTTTGTAAGGTTAACATCTGGTCTTCTGTTCATACCTTTTCCAAGTTCTACCAAGTAGATGACCATTATCTTCCAGATACAGCTGCATCCATTGATCCTTGTTATGGTTGGGCCTGTTGGCACAGTTCTGTTTTCCTTGTTGTTGCCCACTCTCATTTATTGTTTGGGGGCATCCCGGAGTCTATAATATCAAGCTTGTGTCCTGTACTGTTTGCTAAACATGAAAGAAATTTGACTTAACTGTAAATTCCATAGGATAGTATAGTATAGGTTACAGGCAAACCTCCCCTCTGTTCATGTGCTTGCTAAAAAACTGAGGACTCGTGGAGTGAGGTAGGGTTATAGGGGGACCTCCAGGGGGCATTTCCTAAAATCCAATCACTTGAAGGTACCAGCCTATAACTCAGGGTCTATAAATAGCATGCTTTTGTCCTGTACTGTACTCTAAGATATGGAATTTACAAGTTGGTCAAAATTCTTTTTTTTTCTGCTGTTGCGAAAATGTATTGTATGTGAGTCTGCTAAGATATATATCTAATATATATCTAATGCTTTGTATGCATATACAGATTTTTTTTATTCAACCTGCAGGCTCAACGAAAAAAATCTTATCAGGCTGCCCATCCACACTTTACAGTATGGTTGAGGGAGTCTCCTTCTGTGTCCATTGTATTTTGACAGCCTCGGCCAGCATCTGTCAAAATACACAAACAATAGCAACATCTGATCGGGTGCAGCCTCCAACAGTTTTCTGCCCGGCTGCTTGGATTTTTCAATCAAAAGATGTCAGGCAGGAGGTTGCCAATCAGGCCACCCAGGTAGTGAATTTCTCCTGGATCCTCAGTAATTGGCCAAACGTTGAACAGTGTGTATTCAACTTAAGCATGGCTGTGACTTATACTTGTGCATATCAGGTTTATGTTTTGATCTAAGATCAAAATCAATCCAGAAATAATTCATATAATAAAATAATGCTACCTTAACTGTTCTAAGGACCTGCTGCTTAAGAGTCAAAATTGCCAAGCTGAACATTAAGGCTCTATAGTGACTCCAAGGGTGCTTATTGCTGTACCCTTACTTTAGTATTCCCAACAGAGGAAACTTGAGGAAAAAAAGGGGAAATATAGAAATAGCAAAAACCATCCTGGTCACATTTGTAGACAGGTCAGGTTTCTGTGGTTTGTATGTTGCCTGACTCTTCTCCAGCCTAGCTTGTGTGTAGTACTCTTTTCCAGTGTTGCTGACATGTAGTTGTTTTGGGTTTTATTGTGACACAGGTCACCAGATTGGACTTCCAACTGTTGACTAGTGTGTTATAGTAAAAGAACATATTGGCAGTTTTGAAGCTATATTGCAGTTTGGTGTCTTTTGTGAAGGAAGACTTCCAATCTTGTGGGTGCTAGGTTTATGTTTGGTGGGTAGTGTATGATCAATTTTGGTCCACTTTGTGCCATGGGTTAGAGGTCCAGCATGCAGCAAAAAACAAAAAGCTGATACAACAAGCCAGTCCATTGGATTAAAAGATAAGTTCACCTTTGGGAACATGTTACATGTTCCACCCGTTTTTAGGGTGGTACATGTAACATGTTCCCAAAGCTGCAGCTGCCACCCTCTGCCCCCCCCCCCCCCCCAACAGAAGTATGGGGAGAAGTTCCCCCGAACTGTCAGATTTGATAACAACATGGTCATGCAGGGTTCTGCCCACACAGAGTTCCATGAATGAGTGAACTACAAGTTGCGACAGCCTTTGCGGCTGTCAGCTTGTAGTTTTCAATAAACTACCATGGCGCTGTGGAGAGCGCCGTGGTTGTTCATTGATTCTTCCTGTCAGTATATCTGCTTGCTCGTACATTCCGTATGGGCAAGCAGATATATTGACAGATCTGCAGGAGACCTGCATGGCATCAACTATGGTGCAATGCTCTACACATACCTTCCAACTTTTTGAGATGGGAATGAGGGACACCTCTCAGCAAATGTATGTAGGCATAGGGCACACCCCCTGTCACGCCAGCTTAAAAGAGAAATAAACAAAAAAAAAAAGGATAATTTAAACCCACAAGTGTACTATTCCTTTATACTGGCTTTTGACGTTTACAAATGCAACCATTTAGAAACTGGATGAAAGGTTTAGCACTGTGAAACACTTTTTGAAAGATAAATAGTGCATTTTATATACAACCATATGGGTCAGACCAAAATGAGGGATGAGGAAAGAGGGACAGGGGGACTTTGTTAATTGGAAGGCATTCAGACATGCAAGAGCAACTGAACCATCTTTAGTTCTTTGTATCTTCTGATTGCTCCAGAACAATCTATATACCTTAGAAGTTGTGTCTGCAGTACTATCAAATTTATATAAGGTGAGGAAATGAGGGACAGAGGGTGACACTAACCATACCACATGTCTCATTCATGGAGGAACATTAAAGGATAAGTTCAGCTTTAAAAAAAAAAAAAAAAAGATTGCACATTTTTTTTGCAGGTAAAAAAATGTGCATTTACTATTTTTTTTTTTTTTTTTTTTTAGGAGCCTGGAAAGGATTGCACCAGCAAATCAGCAGACCCTGGTGCCATGCAGGACTTCTACAGGCTGTCAGTGTAATCTGTCTGTCTCTACATCGTATGAGCAGGCAGTTTCACTCTGGCAGGAAGAATCAATGAACTACAACAGTGCTCAACAGTGCCGTGGTAGTTCATTGAGAACTATAAGCAAAGGATGTCGATACTTGTAGTTCATTCACAAAACTCTTTTCAAAAAGTGACAGCTGGTACTGCTGTCACACCAGGAGCTCAGATCCCCAACTGGCTGCAGGAGCGGGAACACGTTACATATTACACCCTTAAAACAGGTAAAATATGTTCCCAAAGGTAAACATGTCCTTTAACTAGGACAGGTTTTCTAACTTTGACAATCAGTCAACGGTCAACTGTGGAGTACAGGCAACATTAGTGGATTCCATTACTTGATTAGGCAACTTTCATATCACTTAACAGTAATTTGACCTGTGCACAGAAGTTATCAATCTCTGGTAGCTAAACATGGCATGGTTGTAGAGTTAGACAATGAGAAAAACCTTTGGGCAGAAAATGTTTAATTTTGACTATTGTCTTTTTTGTTAAAATCAATCTTCTGTTCTGCAATTGGCACTCATATCATATTATTCCGTTTTCTCAATTTAAAATGATTATTAGTAACGATCAAATATATGTAGGTAAAAAACAGTCATGCATAATTTAATCATTACATCTTGTCTGTTCTTCTAGGAAATCTGTAGAAAGAGGACTAGATCGTTTATCACTTACAGATTCTCAGGTATTTTATTGTTAGACAAATAGCTTAAATGTTTCATAATACAAATAATACCCTGCATATTTTTTCTATAAACTCCACCACAATTGCCTCCAAATTCCTATACTCTACAAGCATCTTTTCCTGGTACTCTTGTACTCTGATCACACTGTCCCTATGACATTACCTAACGTCGAGCTGCTGAATGTTAACCATAAACTCTGTAAAACCATGTAATATAAAACAGAGAAAATAAACCACGGTTTACATTTATTTTAATAATGGTTTTTCTTCTTAGGTGTCATCTCAATCTTCCTCAAGTAGTGTTAGCAGTGGTTCGAACAGGTTTCAAAAGTAAGATTCTTTATTCTGTTTTTTTTCTTCTTTATGTGTTCAGTTATTCAACTATACTGCTTTGTTTTAATAGCAATACTTTTATTTGCTGACAAAATATAAAGTCCACTACAGCTCACTTATGTATATATATTAGTCTTTGTGCAGAAGGTGCTTACCGTTTATTGTTTGTTCACACATTTCTGTAGTTGATCTAATTTCTAGCATCCACTTTTTACAATGTTTTAGGGGTCAAAACTGTATTAGTTTTCAAATCTTTTTTTTTTTTTTTTGTCATAACTCATGTCATGCCCAAAAAGTTGTCTGTAGGTATATAAACGCATGAGTAGAAAACTGCATCCATAAACACGTGGAATCATCTGAATGAAAATGAGCTTATTTAGATGTCTAAATGACTCGTTGGTCATATCTACTACGAGTCAACTTTGCCTGTGGTACCAGCTGCCACACATTGTGGCAGTGAGTCCACATGAGTCTTGCAAAGTTAAAACAAACCACTCAGATCTCAGTGGGGGAGATTCACTAAAAGTGGTGCATACAGAATCTGGTGCATTGTAACCAATTAGGTTTTAACTTTATTCAATTAAGCTTTGACATTAAAACGTGGAAGCTGATTGGTTACTATACACAGATGCACCAGTTTTAGTGAATCTCCCCCTTGTGTGTCATGCAACCGACCAAGATTAACAGGTAGATGCTTCCTTCAAAAGACACTGTGGTTGAGGTCATCCCAGAGGTGTCACCACAGTTATTTACTATCACAGTGGTGTCGGTGGTGCCAGTAAAAGGTTAGTGCTGATGAAGTGTATTTCATTGCAAACACTTTTGGTAGCTTACTCTATAGACTAAGGTGGCACCCTTAGTGGACCTTAGGTTTTATGTCCTGTACAGTCATGAATGTGTCACATTGTGCATACTAATTATAGTCTCCCTTTATGGCATTGCTAGTTTAACCACTTTCCCTCCAGAGGTTTTACCCCCCTTCCTGACCAGGCCATTTTTTGCGATATGGCGCTGCATTATTTTAACTGACAATTGCGCGGTCATGCAACACTGCAACCAAATGAAATTTATGTCCTTTTTTCCTACGAACGGAGCTTTCTTTTGGGGATATTTGATCGCCTCTGTGTTTTTTATTTTTTTGCGCTGTAAACAAAAAAAGACCAACAATTTTGAGAATAAATTTCATCATATATTTAGGCCAAAATGTATTGTGCGACATGTCTTTGCTAAAAAAAAAATCCCAATATGTGTAAATTAATTGGTTTACATGAAAGATATAGCGTCTACAGATGGCAGTATATATCCTGGAATTCTTTTTTGTAATACTAGTAATGGTGGCGATCAGCTAGTACGTTGCGGCTGCGCTTTCCCTGGGGCACATTCGTAAGTCTACTTCCCCAGCAGGAGCGGGCTTTTTCTTTGTAAAGAAGAAGGGTGGTGAATTGAGGCCTGAGAAAACGCAGCCACCAGAGCCTCATTGCATCGATTATAGGGGTCTCAATCGAATCACCCTGTTAAGAATGCCTACCCGATTCCCTTGATTACTGAGTTGTTCGAGTCCTGTCCGCCTTAAGGGAGCAACAGTCTTTACCAAACTTGACGGCCCACCTTAGGGGGCGGCGTACAACCTCATACGAATCAAACAGGGGGATGACTTTATGGGGAGTGGACGTTTTGGGTATGCGCTATCCTTACCTGCTCATCCTCCTTACGACTGCGCCATATCCTTGCAACCCGGTGCCCACTCCTCCGCGTGGCAGGGTGTATCCTGGAAGACGCGTTTAACACCAGAACCGGTCACCACGAATACCTGGTGATGCCCTTCAGGTTGTGTAACGCGCCCGCAGTTTTTTCAGGAATTCATAAATGATGTCCTTCGTGACTTGTTGAAGCAGTGCGTGGTAGTTTACTTGGATGACATCCTGGTTTACTCTGCCTCCATGGAGTCCCATATCCAGGATGTCAAGCAGGTGCTGCAATGATTACGTGAGAACGAACTTTTTTGTAAACTTGAGAAGTGCGAATTCCATCGATCCCAAGTTGCCTTTTTGGGCTACATCATTTCTGCGGAGGGATTCTCCATGGACCCTCAGAAGGTTGCGGCGGTTCTGTAGTGGCCTCGTCCCAATGGTCTTCGGCCCATTCAGCGCTTTTTGGGTTTCGCCAAGTACTATCGGAAGTTCATCAGGAACTTCTCCGCGCTGGCAAAGCCTCTCTCAGACCTAACCAAGAAGGGCAGTGATCCTTACGAGTGGCCATCCGAGGCCATCGTAGCTTTCGAGGCTCTGAAATCCGCCTTCGCTTCGGCTCCGATACTGTCTCATCCCAATCCTGGATTGCCCTTCGTCCTTGAGGTTGATGCATCCAAGACGGGAGTAGGCGCTCTCCTGTCTCAACGTCGGTCACCCCGATGGACCCCTACTTCCCTGTGGGTTCTACTCCAGGAAGCTTTCCTCTGCAGAGTGCAACTACCAGATTGGAGATAGGGAGTTGTTGGCAATCATTCTGGCTTTTAAGGAATGGAGGCACCTGGAAGGCTCCGCGGTTCTGGTCCTCATTCTTACCGATCATAAGAACCTGACTTATCTTTCGGAGGCCAAAAGATTGACACCCCGTCAGGCCAGATGGGCCTTGTTCTTGTCGCGGTTCAACTATGTGGTCTCCTGTTTGCCTGGTTCCAAGAATGTCAGGGCTGATGCATTATCGCGGCAATACTCTGAGTTGTCCAGGGAGGACTCTGAGCCAACCTCGGTCATACCTCCGGATCAGATCCTGGCTGCCATTCGCACCAGTCTGACTTCTCCCATTGGGGAGCAGATTTTGGCGGCTCAAACTGACGCTCCTCCCGAGAGACCGGAGGGTAGATATTTTGTACCCGAGGGGTTGCGCACCCGTCTGCTGCGTACCTACCATAACTCCAAAACTGCCGGGCATCCGGGGAGGAACCAGTTGTCTTGGGTCGTCTCTCGGTTGTTCTGGTGGCCAACTCTCCGTGCCGACATTGCCTCTTATGTAGCGGCATGTTCGATCTGTGCCCAGAATAAATCTCCACGGCATCTTCCAATGGGTCTTCTGCAACCCATTCCCAATGGGGAGCATCCTTGGTCACACCTGGGCATGGACTTTATTGTAGACCTCCCTGTGTCTCGGGGTCATACGGTTATTCTCATGGTCGTCGATCGTTTTTTTTTCCAAAATGTGCCATTGTATTCCACTCAGGAAATTACCAACAGCGCAAGAATTGGCCACGGTCTTTTCCAGGGAGATTTTTCGCCTGCATGGGTTGCCCAAGGTGATTGTCTCAGACCGCGGGAGTCAGTTCGTGTCCAGATTCTGGCGCGCCTTCTGCTCCCAGTTGGGTATTAGTCTCTCCTTTTCTTCAGCCTACCACCCGCAGTCCAATGGGGCTGCGGAGCGTTCCAATCAGGCCTTAGAACAATTCCTTCGATGTTATATCTCGGACCATCAGGACGATTGGGCCGATCTCCTGCCTTGGGCAGAGTTTGCCAGGAACTCGGCGGTCAACTCCTCCTCCGGGATGTCTCCCTTCATGGCCAACTATGGGTACCAACCCGCGGTATTACCTGAGAGGTTCTCACCACAGGACATTCCGGCTGTGGAGAACCATCTTGCTGCCCTGCATTCTTCATGGGGGCAGATCCAGAGGGCCTTGAGGGACTCGGCTCTGCGTCAGAAGTTCCAGGCTGATCGCAGACGGTTGCCTGCTCCTTCATACCAGGTCGGCGATCGGGTGTGGTTGTCTACTCGTGACCTCAATCTTCGGGTGCCCACACCCAAACTAGCTCCCTGTTTTGTCGGTCCTTTTCGCATTCTCCGCAAGGTGAATCCGGTGGCCTATGCCCTTACCCTTCCGCCTGGGATGCGGATCTCCAATATCTTTTATGTATCACTGTTGAAACCTCTGATCTGCAATCGCTTCACTACCTCTCTGCCTCGGCCCCGTCCCATTCGGGTTGACGGTCATGAGGAGTATGAGGTGAGCTGGATCCTGAAGTCTCGATTGGTGCGCGGCCGATTACAGTTCCTGGTTCATTGGCGCGGTTATGGTCCCGAGGAGCATTCCTGGGTTCCTTCAGTGGATGTCCATGCTCCTGCCCTCCTCTGCGCTTTTCATACCCGCTTTCCTCAGAAACCTTTTGATGAGCTGCGGAGGGGGAGGGGCCCTTGAGGAGGAGGTACTGTCAAGGTCCTACCTTTTCCCAGAGGTTATGTTACTCCATGTGCTGGCATCCATCTTGGATTTCTGCTGAGCATGGTGGGAATCTTTTATGCCTTCAGGTCTCTGAGGTCCATCCCCCAGAGGGGTGTGGCTGAGTACATATAAGCCTGTGATCCGCACATGCTCTTTGCACTTGTGTCTTGTGTCTTTGTCTTGCTACATCTCTGTGTATACTCTCGGGACTCTTCTGGTATCTGACTCGGCTTGTGACTAAGACCATTCTCTGTGTTTTTTCCTTCGATCTGACCCTCCGTTGCTGAACCCGGCCCGTGACCTGTGATTCTCTGTCTACTGTTCTGTACCGTTTTGTCCCATTGTTGTCGACCCGGCCTGCCTGACTACGCTATTGTCATTCTTACCAGCTACACGCCATTGGCGGCGGCCATTACCGCAGCCGGGGTGTCTCGGGGGCCGCGACCTGGTTCCTGGCTGCGTCAAGTCCATCCCCACCATCAGGGGCCCTGGTGAAGGGCAGCCTGGGACTTAGACTCCTGAGGGACTTCGGTCTGTTGGTGGTGGTTGTCGTCAGCCAGTGGGTTACCCTGCCACTAGGCCTACTTGTCCGTTCCACAGCCCTGCCCTGACACCTGTGTGCTGTTTTACTGTGTGCTGTACTTTACTGTGTAAGCACATTGCTTTGTATTGCTCTGCTATGCAGAGCAATACAAAGGCGTGTGCTGGAGCTGACGGAAGAGATGTGTATTGTTTACATACAGACTTCTCCCTCGTCAGTGATACTCTGTGTGATTTTGCGCAG